CAGCTGGATTTAATGCTATTGAGGGTTTTAAAAAAATGCTAATATAATCCTTTCTGAATAGATGAGTTGTTAAAGTCCTTGGCAAGTACAGTGTGAGAATAATTTTCTTTAGAGGAAGGTAGCTGATTCTATTGACACAGAAAATAAATAGCTTCAAAATATAGTAAAAAAATGTTTGAGGGCAAATTGATTCCTGTATAACTGGAGGAGACTGTCACTCAGATTCCATCCATGATTCTATAGGATCTCTAAATCTACATCTAGAAGTCTATGGTAAGGATATTTTGATGGTTCTGTTCTATGTCACTTTTAAACCATTCTCCTCTAATAATTCTGTCCCTTTTTGTAAGGTTCATGGGAAGGAGGGAAGGGAACAAATAGGGTTTTGTGAAAGGTGTTATCTCCTAAATTTTACAGTGCTTCTGTAGAAATTCATCATACCTATGACAAAAGCAGGCAGATTTTTTTATTAAATATATAGAAAAATGGATTGGAAGAAATGAATGTTGTAGAACAGTATGTTCATAGCTTGGAATTTGCCATGTATTTCTGTCTTTCAGAGTGCCTTTATCGAGAAAGTATTATTCAGTATTTAATGTTGGGGGAGGGAGTTTTTTAAATAAGTTAACTATCCATGCATTTTGAATATTAACAGCAAAGACTGGTGGTGAGATATATACTGATTAAAATCTCTCTCTAAGCAGCCTGTATAAACTGTATGTCTAACTTAACCCCCTTATACTTTAGATACAGGGCAGCCAAATACGCTTATTTTCATAGTTCTAATTTTTCATTGTTTTCATTTTTTAGCTGAAAAAAACTCCCTTTGTTACCCCATTGCTCCTTAGGTCACAAACATTTCTTTTAAAAGAGCGTTGAGAGAAGTGTGTGTTTGTAGGCTGAGTGCAGTAATAAGACAGTGGGCAGAGCGTGTGATAGTGAGAACTTGAATGTATAACATGACTGTCTGTCTGTTGGAAACTGCCTGCAGGGATACAGCTATTGTATTTCTTGCAACTTGCTGTCAGGCAAGTTTAACTGATAGAAAAGGTGCAACCAACCAAACTCTGGTTATTCTGTTGCATTTGTGTGCCACCCAACATCAGCACGTGTCCATATAACTAGTAAGCATGAGGTAAATACCACTAGAGTGATGATTGTGGCTGGGCAAAACTGAGTGCTGTGTAGAAGCTGCTTAAGTAGAATTATTTAAAATATTTCTGGCAGAATTTCAGCTGACCCCAATCCTCAAGATACTTGCTTTGATGTTGTGTTGTGGACAACAATGTCCAATCTGTACCTGGTAAGACACACAACCTGAACTTTAATAGTGTTCAGGTTTCTGGGAGGTTTTTCAAATAAGAATTACTAAGTTTGAATAGGTCTTGCTATTACTGATAGATTTAAATATGATGTAATCTCCTTACTGAATGATTGTAGTGTCTCTTTGACTGAATTAACCACTTTGTGGGATTTGAATATGTAACATGTTATGCTTCTTCAGAATCGGGTTTGGGTTCCAAGAAAGCAGGATCTGACATTCTTAGCTGGTTTCCTTACATGTACTTGAATGCTGTGCCTGGCAGGAGGGGAAGGTCATTCTGTTGAGGGCAGAAATCCTCCTCATCTGCAAAGGTTTTTGCTTGAAGTGAGGTCTGAATGGGGGCTATAAACCCCCTCTAGTTCTGGGACATATAGCTGTCTACTTGAGAGTAACATGAGACGTTATTCAGAGGAAGCTTGCAAGTCTGGCTACTTTTTGCAATCCATTTCCCTCATATTTCCGAGACATCCAGAGCTGTTATGTCAAGGCTACTAAAAGGTATATCCTTGTCTACTCTTCTGGTTCTGCTACGGCATCAGTTACGATGTACAGACTTCCATCAAATACACATTGTACCTGCCCATAGGGGGTTTTTTTGCCCTTGGAAGCAAAAGTGAGCGAGCCTTTGGGTAGCTTCCAGAAATGCTTTGTTGATATATGTGTAATTGTTTCTGTAAAGCAAGAATTGGCCACCAAAATGAAAATGCTAAATTTTGTATTTCCATATTGTTTCTTTGTAACATTAGACCTTATAAACGTCTTTTAGTATAGTTGCTTCAGGTGATGAAATAGGGTTCTCTACATCCAGCTGAAACTAAGCTGACAGATCTGGGTAAATGTCATCTACTGTATTGAATTTGACCGTTCCTTTATTAAAATGAACTTCTGCCCTTGAGAAACCCTTGGTGAAAACTAATATATAGCTGTAATATTTTAGTCCTTAATTTGTCATATGCAAGAATGCTAACTTTTGTATTGTTATCTCCATATAATAAAATCATGTTCTCCTTCAACAGAGTCTGAATTTCACCCTGGTGTGTTTAATAATGGAAAACTTCAGAAACTGCATTTCATTGCGATATTTTTTATGTCAGAGGATTGCATACCAACTTTCAGACTGAGAACATCTTGTTGAAGAGCATTGGTGGGAAGGATGTCTCCCCTCTTTTGTCTTTCTTTCCTTCCCAGTGCTGTTCCCAGGAGGCTCCTTATGTAGTATCTCAGGCATGGTCCTTTGACATTGGGTTGAAATTACTTCCTCCTGGCTGGTAGCTTCTGTCCCAGTGGCCAAGACCCAGTCTCCATCTGAGGGTCTCCATTTACATGCAAGCCCTTGAAGAAGTTTGTGTTGTTGAGAACTGTGTGCCCAAAGTGGTGCTGGAATCATACCAAACAGAAATTTTAGTTGTGGTAGAGTCACTTAACATCGAGGAGGTACCTTTGTGAGAGAATGCTGTCAAGGCATTGCAAGAGGTAATGGGGGCTAATATTTAAACTGTCTTAACTTTCAAAAATCATAGATTTCTGAAGTTGGGAAAGTATCTTAATTATGAGTTGAAGACCTGGATTGTACTGTGTTGCTCTTTACTGTTAGCACCATCTTAAAACTTCTTCTGAAACCCTGAAAGCTGTGAAAATATGGAGCACTGCTTAATTGGAAATAATGAATTTTGTAATTAGACTGCATGTTGTGGAATGCAGCAGTCCATTCATTGTGGGAGTGACCTGAACAATCATAGAGGTTGAATACCTGTTTATAAGGGACTAGATGAGAGGGTGGAAGGTGCTAAATACTGTTGTGATGACTTAAGTACTAACCAGTAAGGAGCTTAGTGCATTTGTTGATTTTTTTTTCTTTTCTTTTTGTTGTTTAAAATCTTCATGAACCTTATGCCAGGAAAACATTTCAAATGTGGTTTGTTAATTGGAAGTGTGAATCTGTTTTAAAAAAGAACATGAATTTTTGCCAGTAACTCACCTAAAGCCTTGATAGGATCATGTCATCATCAGATGCTTGGAGTAATTTGGAGTCCAGCACCGAGCAATCTCTGCCACCCATCAATCCGTGAGCAATTTAGGCATTTGCTTTTAGACTTACGTGAAAGACTGTCAAAATAATGTTTTTTTAGAAGTCAGCTGTTTTCAGTCACTTCCTTTTTAAATGACTGATTTTGACTTCATTTGTAAATTCACCTTTTGAGGTATCTTAGAGGTTGTAAATACAAATATTTGTATTTATGTATTTGATATGCCTGTGTTTGTGGAAGAGAAACAGTAACAATGGTTAATTCAATATTCTTTCTGACCCCCAAACCATCCAGTTTAGGAAATTGCTAAAGGCACAGGCTCTGAGTGAATTAGTTACTTCAGTGTCTGTTTTGAACATGAATGAGTCTTACTATGCTGAAGAAGCAGATTCAGAAATTATTTGTGTTTCTTTGTGCTTTAGAAGTGTATATATCTGCAAACACTTCAATAATATGCAGATTTGATGAAACCCCTAAAAGAAAACCCTAATTAAACAAAATACTAACTAACCTGAAATATTAAATACATAGGAAACTATGAACTTGGTATTCAAAATGCTTCGTAGGGAAGACAGTGCATTGCTTCGGGATTAACTGTAAGCAAAAATAGGCTTTGCTGTGCATCTTCATCAGTGTTTCTGGTGATTTTGATTCTTTCAGCGAACAAAGAGGATGAAGCAGTTGGGAATGCAGGTGGGCTGTAGATTTTCTGGCCAATAAGTCTTCGTACATGAATTGTAAAAATCTAAAAGACTTTGATGTGTTTTGCTTCCTAAAAAATTGTAGTAAGAATCATGGTTTGAATGATATAGAAAAACATTTGAATGATCTGCAAAATAGGGATCCCATGCAACTGCAGCAGTTTAGGGTGAAGGATGGTTGTAAAACTTTTTCAACTTTGCATACTTGTGTCTCTGCTTTTTCATTCTTTCCCTATATTTGCTCACATGCTTTTCGTCTTGTTTTTGTGAATTTAATGAAATGTTGAGACATGAAATGTATTGTCAAAACCAAGCAGATAGAATGTTGTGTGAGAATGATGACAGGAACACAATTTGAAGAATGAGGATCTATATCTCCACGTATTTCAAAGTCAGTGTAAATGAATGCTTTATAAACAGGATAATTCAATTTTTTTTCCCCACTGGCATTGATAAATCTGTTCATTAGTATTTCCCTGGACTGGGCGGTGGTTTGCCTTTTGTTGGTAGTGCAGTGCCATCTAGTGTCTGCTCACAAGGGACTGGGGAGAAATTGACAAAGAAAAACGTTTGATGAGCTGATCACAGAGGTTTCAAGGTTGAGTGGTTCACAACTGCGAAAAGACTGCTTTATGGAAGGTTGAGTAAGCTGAAGTATAATCCCTTGTACCTTGTACCTGCAGAAAGTGCTCCTTGTGTTAGCATGTGGTTGGAGGTGGTGTGAACTGTACAAGAGGAGGATGACTTTCTTACGCAGCCAGCACAAGTCTTGCACTTGCTAAATTTTTCATTCCAGTTAGCAAATTAATTACCTAAGGTCTTTATGAATACTATTTTTTTTTCCAAATGCTGTCATAATCTTTAGTTGAGGATAACTTAGATTTTTCTTTCAATGAAGGTAAGCATTTCAACAGTATAGTTATGTATTTTTTTTTCTGTTTCTTTCAGCTTGATCACATATTGTCCCCCCCACCTATGCCTTTCCGAAAATCCAGCAGTCCTGAAGTATCTTCTGGACTTGGAAAGTCTCCTAAATTTAAGAGGCAGTTGAGTGAAGATGGGAGACAGCTCAGAAGAGGAAGCCTTGGAGGAGCTCTGACTGGTGAGCTTGGGTTGTGTGCAATGTCACCTGGAGGTTTAGCATTTGTGGAGCTCATGGCACCTTGACCTCTGGTGTTTGCCTTGTGGCCGAACTCCTTGGGGGAGGTGTGAGCTCCACCTGGAGTTTCCATAAAGTCTCTTCTACATGGGTTCCATGATTGTTAGTGAAGTGAGCTCATGTCTGAGGTTCTGCCTCCATGGGCTGCTGATATGTGGCCAAGCACAGCCTAAAAAGGACCCATATTTTAAGATTTTCATGAATATAGTATTTATCTTGCCAACTTAGTTTAGCTGCTTTGAGTTGTGATCTTGTGCATCCATCCATGGGGCCACATACATCTTGTTTCCTCAAGGAGCTGAAGTGCACAGATGGTTCCTCTATAGCTGATTTCATTATAGAAAAGGCAGTTTGGCCTCATTTATCTGGTGGAGTTCTCACAGGGAAGGAAGGGTGTTACTAGCTAGCCACTGGCTGTGGACTGCAGCTTCTCCTCTGTGGAGCCAGGCAGAGGTAGCAGGATGCTTGAGGGGGGCTCAGGCTTTCCCTGTCCTGATAGTGTCTGTAGAAGATACCAGATGCCTGGTATCATGACTCTGTACTGGGAGATCCAATGGCTGCAGTGGTCACTGAAGAGGGATTGATTTTGAGTATGGAGCAAATTGAATATGAAAAAGTAGGGACTTTGTGTATTTCAAGAAAAATAATTTTTAAATTCAGTAGAATTTGGATTAAGTATGTTCGTAAAGTGCACAATTACTAATAGTTTGAAGAACTTGTTGTATTTGGTGAGAGGGACAATAGATTTCAGTAAATTTACTGGAAGATACAAATTTGAGACTCAAAATCTTGTTTCACCTGTCCAGGTGTTGTTGATTGGTATTAGAATCAAACAGGTGAAATTTAGGTTAGAGGAAGTTGAAATGGTATTTATTAGAGATATGACTGTCTTCTGTCTCTAAATTCTGTATGTTGTTCAGAGCTGTTTTTGCTTGGGGATGAAAAATGGCGCCACAGTGGATAGAGCTGACTCTTCTGCCATAAATGTCTGGGAAGTGCTCTTAGAATATTTGCTTTCCTCACTTGCTTCCCGCCCCTTTCCCTAACCTTATGCTGGAAGAAGCTCCAAGAAGCTACAGCAATACCTCTCTTTGTATTCAGTAGCTTAAAATGACCTACAATGCTTCTGGTAAGTGACAAATAATTCATTTTTTCACCTAAGGAACTTAAGTTGTCTCATACTTTATGTGAGGGAAAAACAGATGCTACTACAGGAATTTCTTGTATGATAGCACACAGTCATTGCTGTGGTTTTTAGTGTCACTGGGGTAAGATTTGCCATTTCCCATGCAACTTCATTGTTATCAAGAGTTGTTTTATGAAGATTTCAGAAACAGTGTAAAGCATATTCGTGATCCGTAGGGGCTTTCATGAACGAGAAGTGACTTACAGCATGCAAGTGTCAATCTTGCTAATCATATGAGTGAACTCTGGCATCTCTGGTGTGTTACAGCTCTAAAACCTTGGAATGTTAACCAAACTACTCTTTTACTGAAACCAAAAACTGCCGGCACACTTCTTATTTTTTCAGAAGGAGCTGGTATGGGGTTTTAATTTTATTTTTGTTTAACTTTAAAGTGGGGTGGTGGTCTTTAAAAGCTGTTCTTTCCCATGTAAGCCCTGCAGATAAAGAGGGAGAAGACAGCCTAATGAAAAAGAAATGTAGCAACTGCTGCCATAGTCTCTGGTCTTTATCGCTATGCTCGAATTATTGCTTGAGGCCTTTATAAGGGGAAATGAATATGCTTTTTGTCTGCTTGCAATATGTTGTGCAGGGTTTCATGTCAGGATTTGGAAATATAGTGTGCAGTGATGTTAAACTGCTTTATTACTAATGCACTTTAAATGAACCTGGATACCCTAGGGCTTTGGTATCTTAAAATAGTTTAAATATCTTAACAGCTTTCATGATACTGATTAAATTAATCAAAGTCATTCTGATGACTGAAAGTTTTTAATATTCTTTTGGGATTTAAAAAAAAAAAATACTATAAAGAAACCACTGCAGATAGAGAACTAATTCCCAGAGTTGTTTCAAATGCTCAGTAATCTCAAGTTAATTTCAGTGTTGCTGTGGTCTTGTATTTACCTACCTTTTTATGTACTTTAATGCTTAAGAGTAGTTTGCTGCTCTGGTTTGAAACTACAGGAATCATAATATCATGAAAAAAAAAGCAGTGGAGCATGAGGAGGCCTTCCATTAAAATGTGCGAGCTGACATGTCCGTGGTTTGGGTTTACTTCTATGCTCACGCATCCTCTCTGAAATTTGTGTTTCAGTCTTGATGTTTCTGGAAAGATATTTCTGGTCCATAGGGGCAAAAATATTTGGAAACCTGTCATTTGAAAAAGTACTTGATTTTAATTAATTTATTTTTAATATCACTATGCACTAATTACTGTCTTCTTTTATTCTTTCTTCTATTTTGTTGCTTTTAATATTCGCTTCAGTGCTAGCTTAACAATGTGTATCAGTCCATTAGGAAGTAGTTCATGAAGATATTTTTGAAATTATTTACAGTTCAGTCTCTACCTCTGTCATTAAAAAATTCTCAACTCCTAAAATAAAGTGGGAGTAAATAAAGCAAGAGACATGATTCCTGGCTTGCAAATTTGCAGAATATTCCTATGCTGATGCGTGTTGCTCACTCCAAATGTTAGAAAAGTGAATCGTGTTACTTTCCCTTTCCTTGTGCTATTAAAAACACAATATTATTGAGCTGTAGAGCATAAGCAGTATTAACAATGAAAACAAAAATAAAAATTTAATTTGTTTTTTTAAAACAGGATGGTTAAATTCCTGCAGGGCTGAATACTAATAGAGGTGAATAGATAGGGATTTTATCTCTGGGAATAGGTCCTAAATAAATTGGGCTTATTGAGTTTATTGGACTTTACAAGAGGGAATAATGTTATGCAAGATATATGAGAGGAAATAAAATCTATAGTGTTACAATATATTGAATAAAATTTGCGAAACCAGAAGGATTAGAGTTCCTGAGAACCTACTACCTTGAATTGGCTATGATAAATTATAGAAGTCTTTATATAGGAATATGAGAAAAATTGAGAATGATGTACAAGGTCTTTCCAGAGGGAAGTCAGTGCAAGGGAGAAGACGGCTGGAAACCTGTGGAGGTGAGACAGAAACTGAATTTATTTTCTACACAGCTTCAGGGACACTGGAGCCCTTTTTTTTCCCCCAAGTTGCACAGTTTTAAGCAAGGCAGCAAACACGTGTTTTCAGTGACAAGTAAAGAATGCTTTCTAAAGTTGAAGAAAATGAAATAAATGTTTTTGAGAATAAATCTACTATTGCTTCCTGTTGAAAACTGCTACGGAGCAACTGATATTAAATAAAGTTTGGCCAATAAAATAAATGAATACTGCTTCCTGGAGGCAACATACTGCTGTTTTGGAAAAGACACTTCAATATAATTGTTGCAAGAGTATTGCTTTCCTTAATCTTCATTGCTGAGGAGGAGCAGGAAGACTTGGAAAAAGAGAGACTGAGTTTGGAATGAAAAGAGTATATTGGATGTGGCCTGCTATTAGACTAGCAAATCTGCTCTAATAGTTCTTGTTGTGAAGGGCTAGCAGTATTGCCTAATAGAAAAAAAGGATGCAAAACAGTATTTCATAGCTGTGGCTGCTAACTGTAAGCATTCATGAGATAAAACAACTCCAGAGTAAAAGAACTGGGAAGTAATTAATGACCAATTAGTCTTTTAATTTAAAAGGTCATGTTTCCAAAGGGCTATAAAGTTAAAGGGAGCATAGCCACTTATACTGTAATCAGCGTTTGCCTTTTTCTCTTTTGCTTCTGCATCATAGCTCCTCTCCTGCTCTGGATTCCCCCTTCCCTGCATGCACACGTGCCTATAACAGTCCTTGCCACATCCTTTACCTGGGAAGTAAACTGGATCTTTTAAAGTTCTGCTTGTGCCACAGACAGTGTAAAACTTGCGCTATTTGTTCGACTGCAGAATAAGCCCTGTCACAAAGCTGAGCTATAGCTACCTGTTTCATAGTCCTAGGTCAGACGCAGAGGGAGAAGAGGATTGCTTCAGAAGAACGCTGGTGCCCTCCAGGTGCAAGGGTATTGGAGGCGTGCTGGACAGAATTGAGAGCAAACTGTGGTTAGGTGAGGTCAGACATCTGTGTGTACACACGTATTTAAATGCCTCTTGCAGTAGCCTTCAATTGCCTTCTTAAGCATTCCTAATGGTGCACAGACTGGGACTTTAAAACTTGTTTCTAATCAGGAGAAAAGATGTTTAATTAAAAAGCTGCTTTTCCGTGGTGGCTGTTTTTCTTGATCTTTGCAAAGTTCAAAGGACTGTCTATAGTCAGAGGGCTTTTGGCTTAAATTGTCTACAGGTTTTAGTTTGCTGTGTTCAGAGATGCTTAAATAGAATCCATGGCAGAAATTAATGTGCAAGGATGAGAAATTAAATGAGCTTAAACCTTGGAGAGGGTTAACCTGGCAAATCACTTGGACAAGCAAAACAAACTCCCCTTACTTTCATGTCCCATCCCTGCTCCTCACTTTACACTGTGGTGGGTGGTTCAGCTTTGTTCCCTCTCTTCAGCTGCTCTGGTGCAGCATTTGGAGCTTTCTCTCTCTCCACTTCTGAAAGATATGAGAACATATTGCTGGGAAGAGTTTGGATTTTGGAGAGTACTGCAGCTGGCTCAGTTGTCTCTATACTGTAATGATAAACTCTGCTGTTACATATAAAGAAAAAAAAATTAGAATTTGTTACCTATAGTTTGAACTTCTTATCTTGCCTCCTGTTATCTCATCTATAACTGCCTGGAAACAGACTTCCTGCTGGGCTAATTATGGTAGGGCTGCTATCTACTAACCTTACATTATCTGTATTTGTATAAGATCAAGTTAGCACATACAAATTTCATTTTATAGAACTTTTAATCCAAGAA